CTGGGGCTGCCGCTGCGGCTCCTGCTGCCGCTGCGGCTCCTGCTGCTGCTGTGGCTGGGGCTTCTGCTGTTGCTGCGGCTGCTGCTGTCTTTGGGGGCCGGGCTTTTGCTGTTGCTTCTGCTGCGGCTGCCGCTGGGGCTTCTGTTGCTGCCAGCAGCGCTGCCCTTGCTGCTGCTGCGGCTTTTGCTGCTGCTGCGGCTTTTGCTGCTGCTGCTTCTCTTGCTGCTGCCGCTCTTGCTGCGGGCAGCGCTGGGGCTGTGCTGCCTGCTGCCTTCAGCGGCGTTGCTGCCGCTGCGGCTTCTGCTGCTGCTGCTGCGTTTGCTGCTGCGTTTGCTGCTGCTGTTGCTTGGGGACCTTTTGCTGCCGCTCCCGCTGCCCCCGGGGCTCCTCTTGCTGCCGCTGCCGCTCCTGCTGCGGCTGCGGCCTCTCCTGCTGCTGCTGCTGCTGCTGCTGCTGCGGCTGTTGCTGCGGCTCTTGTCGCCGCTGGGGCTTCTTCTGCTGCTGCTTGGCTGGTCTGTCGCCATGGGGCTGTTGGAGCGTTTGCTGCTGTTGCTGCTGCTGCTGCGTTTGCTGGCGTTGCTGGGGCTCCTTTTGCTGCTGCTGCCGCGGCTCTTGCTGCTGCTGCTCCTCCTGCTGCCGCTGCGGCTCCTCTTGCTGCTGCCGCCCTCGCTCCTTTCGCTTCTGCTGCTGGGGCTCCTGCTTCTGCTGCTGCCCTTTGCGCTGGCCTTTGGGCTGCTGCTGCGGCTCCTGCTGCTGCCCTTCGCACTGGCCTGCGGGCTGCCGCTGCGGCTTCTGCTGCTGCTGCTGCGTTTGCTGCTGCTGCTGCGTTTGCTGCTGCTGCTGCGGCTGCGGCGGCCAGCGCTGCCGCTGGGGCTCCTGCTGCCGTGGCTCCGTTTGCTGGCAGCAGCACTCTCCCTGCTGCTGCTGCGGCTGCCGCTGGGGCTCCTGCTTGCTGCTGCTGCTTCTGCTGCTGCTGCTGCACTCGGGCTGCGGCTGGCGCTGTGCTTGCTGCTGCGGCTGGGACTCCTGCTGGGGGCTTCTCTGTTGCTGGAGTGTCTGCTGCTGCTGCGGCTGCGGCTCCTGCTGCGTCTGCTGCTGCCTTTGCTGCTGCTGCGGCTGGCCCTGCTGGCAGCAGCACTGGGCGCGTTGCTGCTGGCCCTGCTGGAGGCGCCGCTGGCCGGGCTTTTTGCTGCTGCAGCATCTCGGCTTTTGCTGCTGCCTCTGCTGCTGCCTCTGCTGGTGCTGCGGCTAGCTTTGCTGCCAGCAACACTTAAAGCTTTGCTGCTGACTCTGCTGGCCCTGCTGGAGGCGCGGCTCGCTGGGTTGCTTTCTGCTGCTGCGTTCCTGCTGCTGCTGCTCCTTCTGCTGCTGCTGCGGCTCCTGCTGCGGCTCCTGCTGCGGCAGCCGTTGCTGCTGATGGCCGACACAGAGCGGCGGCCGTTTCTGCTGCCGTTGCTGCTGCTGCTGCGGCTCTTCCTGCTGATGGGGCTGGGGCTGTTGCTGCGGCTTGCTGCAGCAGGGCTGCCCTTGGCGCTTGCTGCTGCTGCAGCACTGTCTCTCCCGCTGCTGCGGCTGCTGCTGCGGCTGCGGTGGCCCGGGCTGCTGCCACGAGAAGGAGCAGCAGCAGGGCTGGCGCTGCGAGCCTGGCTCCTGCTGCTGCGTCTGCTGCTGCGTCTGCTGCTGTGTCTGCTGCTGGCTCTGCTGCTGCGTCTGCTGCTGCGTCTGCTGCTCGCCCTAGACAGCTTGGAAGCCGACGGGCTGCGGCTAGCCTCATCTGCTGCTGCTGCTGCTGCTGCTGCTGCTGGCGGCACTGCTGCTTCTGGGTGGTCCACGCTCATGCTTCTGCGGGGGCTTGCTGCTGGTGAGCCGCGTCTGCTGCTGGCTCTGCTGCTGCGTCTGCTGCTGCCTCTGCTGCTGCGTCTGCTGCTGGCCCTGCTGCTGCTTCTCCTGCTGTGGCGGTGGTGGCGGCTGCAGCAAAAGAAGCAAAAGAAGACAAAAATAAAAAAAAGAAAAATGCAAAAAAGAAAAAGAAAAACCAAAAGAATAAGGAATGACGCAGGTACTCGCAACACAGACACACAAAAACAGCAGCAGCAGCAGCAGCAGCAGCAGCAGCAGCAGCAGCAGCAGCGTGGGGCACCTGTGTCTGCGTTTTTTTCTGTGCTTTTTGTGTTTCTTTTTCTCTTCTTTTGCTTCTCCGTTTGCATCTTGCAGCAGCTTTTTATTCATGTCTTTTAAATCCAAAAAATAAACTCTTCGAGAATCTCCCATGATGAAGCAGCTCTGCAAAAAGACAAAAAAGAAAAAAAGATTTCAAAAGAAACAAATGAAGCAACTAAAGAAACAAACAAAACAACAAGACGGATTTAATCAATTAGATTTGATTAATTAATTTAAATTTAATTAATTAATTTAAATTAATTTAATTTATTTTATTTTATTTTAATTAATTTATTTAAATTCGGACTCTTTGTTCATTCAATGCCAGTCTTTCATCTCCAGGCTTCAGCAAAGTTCCTTCTTGCTGCTGCGGGGCCCAGCGGGCCCATTCGTCTTTATGTTTAGCAGCAAAAGCAGCAGTGCTGCGGCGGCTTCTTTTGCGGCGTTTGCTGCTGCTGCTGCTGCTGCTGGCTTCTGCTGCTGCAGCAGCAGCAGCAGCAGCCTTCACCGACTCCGGCAAAAACGGCACACTTTTGTTCAGCAGCAAACGAGTTGAACCCCCCAAGGGAACTAAAAAGAAACATCCCCCTTGTTGGTGCAGCTGCCGCGTGGAGAAGTAGACTGCGCACTGCTGGCCCGCCACGCTGTTCTGCAGCAGCAGCAGCAGCAGCAGCAGCAGCAGCAGCAGCACAGCAGCAGCAGCACAGCAGCAGCAGCAGCAGCGGCGTTGGCAATGTGCGGCTCGCTAGTTCAAAGTGCTCAAAGTCAAACCCAAAGTGGGACGGAGGGATGGAAGATGCTCAGCTGCAAGCACCCATAAACTGCTGCTGCTGCTGCTGCGGCTGCTGCTGCTGCTGCTGCTGCTGCTGCTGCTTGGAATGGAGGAAAGCTACGTGCTGCTTTAGGTGCTTCTACCGCTAGGCATCACGCTTAATAAACTGCAGATACCACTACTAAAGCTGCTGCTGCTACTACTCCTGCTGCTGCTGCTGCTGCTGCCACTGCTGCTGCTGCTGCTGCTGCTGCTGCTGCTGCTGCTGCTGACTCACGTGGTTGTCTATGATGTTTGCGAGCTTGTTGCTGCTGCCAAACAGCAAATGTGTCCCTGTGAAAGGCACGCGAGCAAACTCCTGAAAAGCAGCAGCAGCAGCCGCAGCAGCAGCAGGAGTGTCAGCAGCAGCAGCAGCAGGAATAGCAGCAAAAGTATCGCCAGCAGCAGAAGATTAAAAAGACAAACGAACCATCAGAAGGATGAAAAGAGCTAAAAAGACCAGACAAAGGAGAGGCAAAAAGACACGAAAAAGAAGTAAAAAAGAGCCAAAAAAGAAACAAAAAAGAATCAAAAAAGATATAAAAAAGAAACAAAATAGGGGCACAGAAGACACAAAAGTGGCGGAAAACGATGAGACAAGAAACAGACAAAAAGAGTCCCAAAAGGAAGCAAAAAAGGCTTTTAAAACGAAACAAAAAAGAAACAAAAATGGCCCAAAAAGATAAAAACAGGGTATAAAAGAGCTCCAAAAGATCCCCAAAAAAGCATTTAGAAGAGCTTTTAAAAGAGCTTTAAATACACCACTAAAGAGATTTTAAAAAGCTGAAAAAGATGTTTAAAAAGCTGTTTAAAAAGCTGTTTAAAAATCTGTTTAAAAAGCTGTTTAAAAGAATAAAAAATAAAAAAAAACGAACTTGTCCGTCCTCGAAAATTGTTACGCTGAAAAGACCCGGAGGCGGAGGCGTCGCTGTGGGCGGGCAGCGATAAGCCCCCACTGTCAAAGCTGCAAATAATAAAAACAAATAAATAAATAAAGTAAAATTAAATTAAATTAAATTAAATTTAAGTAAATTTAATTAATTAAATTAAATTAATTAAATTAATTTAACTAAATTAATTAAAATAAATTAAATTAAATTAAATTGGTAATTGGATTAAGTCGTTGGCTGGGATTGAAGAGGGAAGGGGTGCGAAAGCAAAAGCGAGAAAGCAAAAAAAAGAAAAAATAAAAAATGAAAATAAAAATAAAATAGAAATTAAATTACAATTGAACTTAAATTAAATTAAATTAAAAAGAATTAAAAGAAAAAGGAATGGAGAAAAAGAGAAAATAAAAAAGCACCTGAGAGAATTTAAAACAGAAAGATAATTTGACAGAATTAAAAACAAATTAAAAAGAATTTATTTCAAAAGAATTAAAAACAAAAATAAAAAATAATTCAAAACAAAAACGTTTAAAGACAATTCCAAATAACTGGAGACAACAAAAAAAAAGAAAAAGATAACAAAAGAAAAAAGAAGAAAATTAAATAAAATTGAAATTCTGAAAATAAAAAACAAAAACAGCTGCAGACAAAAACAAATTAAAACACTTTTAAAAGATATTTAAATGAGACAATTTTTATTATAAACAAAACTTCCACAAAAAAGAAATAAAGAAGAAACAAAAAAGAATCAAAAAGAGTTTTTAAAGAAACAATAAGGGCCCCAAGGGGCCCCCAAAGGGGCCCCCCAGGGCCCCCCCAAGGGGCCCCCAGAGGGGCCCCCAGAGGGGCCCCCCAGGGGGGCCCCTCAGAGGGGCCCCTCTGCTGCTGCTGCTGCTGCTGCTGCTGCTGCTGCTTACTTTCGCAGTTGAGAACTCCTTTCATTTTTTCCTGGTCTTCCCTCCTGGCTTCCCCCAGCCCCTGCTGCTGCTGCTGCTGCTGCTGCTGCTGCTGCTGCTGCTGCTGCTGCTGCTGCTGCTGCTGCTGCTGCTGCTGGTCCTGCGCGCCCTGCAGCTTCAAACCAATTGTGGTTCTTCCCGCCATTCTTTGTTTTCTTCTGTAATTGCTAATTGCTTCTCTTGCTGCTTCTCGAAATATCTCATCTGTTACTGTTGTCAATATTTCCGTCACAACTTCTTTTATTTGCTCCACCAAGGGGGGCAAAGGGGGCCCCTGGGGGCCCCCGGGGGCCCCCCCGGGGGCCCCCCCCGGGGCCTTCCCCAGGGGGCCCCCGGGGGCCCCCTGGGGGGCCCCTGGGGGGCCCCCCACAGCGGGGGCCCCCCCGGGGGGCCCCCCGGGGGCCCCCTGGGGGGCCCCCTCAGCAGTACCCACTGCTGGCCCCGGAGAAGCCTCGCGAGGGGAATTGGCCCCGTGGGAAGAGGGAGTTAGCAGTTGGCCGCCTGCGTAAACCCTAAACCCTAAACCCTAAACCCTAAACCCTAAACCCTAGAGTCTAGACCCTGACTGTCGTGGGCTGAAGGCACGCAGAGGCTGCAGTGCAGGGCATGGAGACCCTGGGAGGTCGCAACACACTAAAAACCCTAAACCCTAAACCCTAAACCCTAAACCCTAAACCCTAAACCCTAAACCCTACCTTCTTCTTTAACGTCTCCTTCTTTCCCCTCTTTATTTGCCTTTTTTGTATTTGCTTCTTTAACAACATCTCGGAGCCACTGGGGTATAGCTTTGGGGCCCCGGGGGCCCCCAGCGTCGCCGCTGACTGCTGCTGCTGCTGCTGCTGCTGCTGCTGCTGCTGCTGCCGATGCTGTTCCTGCAGCAGCAGACGCGCAGCAGCAAGAAGACACGTTAGAAGAAGCAAAACAAAACAAAAATAAAATAAAACAAAATAAAACAAATAAAAAATAAATAAATAAATGATAAAAGCAAACTAAATGGGAGGCCAACAAACTAGAAGGCTGCGGAGCAGCAGCAGCAGCTGCTGCTGACCTGCATGCGCATTGGCCCCATCTGCTGCTGCTGCTGCTGCTGCTGCACCTGCAGCAGCAGGAGCAGCAGCAGCATTTGGGAGAAACCCCGAAGAGATGCCGGCCAAGAAGGAAGGGGGGCCCCCCTGGAAGCCCCCCGGGGGTGGGGGGGGCCCCATGCCGGGGGCCCCCATGCCGGGGGCCCCCATGCCGGGGGCCCCCATGGGGGGCCCCCCCAAGCCGGGGGCCCCCATGGGGGGCCCCCCGAGGGGCCCCGGGCCCATGGGGGGCCCCATGGGGGGCGGGGGCACGCCGATGGGGGAGTGCATGGGGAGGGGGCCCTGGTAGGGGTTGGGGGGCCCCCCCTTGGGGGCCCCCGGGAAGTGGGGGGGGGCCCCCAGGGGCCCCCCGGGAGGCGGCAGGGGCCCCCGGGGCCCCGGGGGGGCCCCCCCTCTGCTGCTGTCCGCCGTGGCCGCCATCTGCACTGCGGCCTGCGTGGCTATCAGAGCCATCAGCGCTGTGGGGCCCTGTTCAGAAGTTTTGCTGCTGACCCAGGCTGAGGCCTGTTTGGCCCAAAAGGCATCGCTCTCGGAGGCCCTTTCTTGAGGCTGAGGGCTCACTGAGCGAGACCCCGAGCTTCTGGAGGACACGGAGGGGCCCCTGGGGGCCCCCCTGCCTTCAGGGGCCCCCTGGGGGGCCCCCTGGGGGGCCCCCCGGGGGGCCCCCGCGGGGGGGCCCCCCGGGGCCCCGGGGGCCCCGCCGCCGGGGCCCCCAGACCCGCTCTTCCCGCGGGGGGCCCCAGGGGCCCCCGGAGAACCCTCGGGCGCGGAACCCTTCGCGGGGGCCTCCAAAGGGGTACTCGGGGGGCCCCCCGGGGGGCCCCCCGGGGAAGGAGTTCTGTGCCTTTTGGCCTTCTTCTTTGAACGGCCATCTTCCCCCCCGCGGCGCCTGCGGCTGCTCGCCATTTGCGCATATGTCTGCAAAGCCTAAAGCCCAAACCCTAAACCCTAAACCCTAAACCCTAAACCCTAGGAAGTGCGCCGCAAGCTGCGCCAGACCCTGAAGCAGCAGCCAAACCCTAAACCCTCATGCGGCTGGCTCGCTGCAGCGGCAGTGGGGGCTGCTGCGTCTCAGTGGGACCTGTTGCTGTTAGGGTTTAGATCTGCGCGGAACCTAAATGGATTAATTCGAAATAAATAAATGCAAAAAGAAAAGAAAACAAAGACTTGGCGGCGCAGCTGCAGTGACAGCCGAGCCGCAGAGCAGCGGCGGCTGGGGCTGGGCCTCACGCCGAACTTGCTGCAGTCCAAGCTGCGCAAAATTCCACAATTAGTTAGGATATTTGGACTTATTTTCGCAGCTTTTTCAACCAATTGTTCTAAAGATTCAAAGCCAAATAAAACAAGTCTATTACTCCGCGAAAAGAGGTCTGCACGCCGCAGCAGCAGCGCTAGAGGCCGAGGGGAACGCCCAGGGCACCCAGCCGCGCAGCTGCCTGCCTTTGCCGCTTTTTGCTGCTTTTTATGGCTTCCTCTCCCCAGAAAACCCAATTAAAACAAAGAAAAGAAAAAAAATAACGATTTTGCAAAGTTTAAGCCTCCTAATATCCCCATTTGCTGCTGCACCAACGCCTGCTGCTGCTGCTGCTGCTGCTGCTGCTGCTCTTCCCCCCCGAGCGTAGAACTGCAAAAAGACAGCGCCGCGCGCCCCTCCTTCTTCCCCGAATTTCACAATAATCAAATCCAATTTAATTCTAAATTATTTTATTTATTCATTTTTCACTTTCTGCGCAAAGTCCCGCCCCAGGCCACACCCACCGCCGCTCACGCTCCTCCACCCCAGCCTCCAGTGCCCCTTCATTGAGAGGCAGCTATTAGGGGCCCCCCCATCCAGCATTACATAATTGGGGGCCCATAGGGGGCCCCCTAGGGGCCCCCAGGGGGCCCCAGAGGGGCCCCCAGGAAACCCCCGAGGGGCCCCGGGGGGGTCTCGGGGGGCACCTGGAACCCTCAGAGGGAGCCCCAGAAGGACCCCGGGGGGGCCCCAGGAAAGGCCTCAGAGGGGACCTTTGGGGCTAGGGTTTAGGGTTTAGGGTTTAGGGTTTAGCGTTAGCTGCTGTACGAGACAGGCTCTCCTGTAGGAGGGTCAACGAACAGCCAACTGGGTAGCTCACAACAAACCCTAAACCCTAAACCCTAAATTGGGCCTCTAAACCCTAGCAAGTTTAAAGAGCAATGTAAGGAGAAGTTGGCGAACTCTATGCGCCCCAGCCAAACCCTAGCCCTAAACCCTAAACCCTAATCTTTAAACCATCTATTACTCCCAGGAGGGCCGCAAGGGCTAGCTGCCCGCACTTTTGCCCTGCGAAATTAGACTGAACTAGCTAGCTAGCCGCTAGAGGGCTAGCCGACCAGCTAGCTAGCTAGCTAGCTAGCTAGCTGGCTAGCTTCCTAGCTAGCCACCAGCTGGCTAGCCAGCGGCTAGCCAACCTAGGTGTATATCGGCTGGATGCCCGGCAGCTAGCCCGCTGCTAGCTAGCTAGCAGCTAGCTAGCAGCTAGCTAGCAGTTAGCTGGCAGCAGGCTAGAGCTAGCTGGAAGCTAGCTAACAGCTAGCTAACAGCTAGCTAACAGCTAGCTAACAGCTAGCTAGCTGTTAGGCTTTCGTTTGTGATCGGCTCTCAACTGCATGCAACCCGCTGTTCGGCGTTGTAATCCCTAAACCCTAAACCCTAAACCCTGTTTTGTAAACCCTAAACCCGAAACCCTAGCCCCGCCCCCCTGCGGCATCTGCTTGCGCCCAATGCTGACAAGCAGCCAGCAGCAGCTAGCAAACTAGCTAGCTGCTGTAGGCCACCTAGCCACCTAGCTAGCTAGCCAACTAACTAACGTGCTAGCTAGCTAGCTAGCTAGCTGGCTAACTGACTAACTGGCCAGCTAGCTAGCCAACTCACTATCTAGCCAACTAGCTAGCCAGCTAGCTGGCCACTGCATTAGAGCCTAACTACTCCCATTTAAAAGCTGCTTCAGCCTTCGCTTTGCCGGTGGCTATCTAGTGGTCAGCTGGTGGCTGACTGGTGGCTAGCTGGTGGCTAGCTGGTAGCTAGCTTCAAGCGAGTACCTGCAGTCGTTAGTTGTGCTGGGCTGCTGCTGCAGCTAGCTACAGGTGGCTAGCTGCAGCAAGCTAGCTGCAGCAAGCTAGCTGCAGCAAGCTAGCTGCAGCTAGCTGCAGCAAGCTAGCTGCAGCTAGCTGCAGCTAGCTGCGGCTATCTTGGAGCAGCTATCTTGCTGCAACCAGCTGCAGCTCGCCGCTGCAGCTTCGCTGCCAGCAGCAACACTGAGGCGGCTCGTGTGCGTACAGCTGGAACGTCAGCAGCAGCAGCAGAAGCTGCAGCAGCAGCAGTGCCTACTGCAGCAGCAGCAACAGCGCTCACTGCAGCAGCAGCAGCAACTGCCGCCGCGTGGCCCTTTGGGCGCCGAGCTCTCGAGCAGTGCACCGTTGAAGCAACAGCAGCAGCAGCCGCAGCAGCAGCAGCAGCAGCAGCAGCAGCAGCAGCAGTAGTCTTTAGGTGCGGCTGCCCCCCGCTGCGGGAGGATAAAGGAGCAGCAACTTATCTGCTGTTGGAGGGAACTCTGTAGTGTCTTCGCATCCCGCTCCTCCATATGCTGCTGCTGCTGCTGCTGCTGCTGCTGTTGCTGCTGCTGCTGCTGGCGCGTCTGGCTGCAGCGCCTGCGCCTTCTCGTGGAGCAGCAGCAGCACATCGTCTTCCTCTGCAAAGCCCAAGGCCTTGAAATGCTGCAGCAGCTTTGCTGCAGCAGCAGCGTCAACTGCTGCGTGCTGCTGCAGCAGCAGCTGCTGCAGCGGGGCAGCAAAGCGCCGGCTACTGCTGAAGAACCTGCAACCAAACCCAGCAGCAGCAGCAGCAGCAGCAGCGTGGGGAGCAGCAGCAGCAGAGTGGAAACCCACAAGACAAAGACACAGAAACAGAGATAAACTTAACCCAAACAGCAGCAGCATGAGCAGCAGCAAACACTGCAGCAGGTACACGCCCATAGGTCGAGAAGGCAGATCCCACATGCAGCCACCACGGCAAAAACCAAACCCTAAACCCTAAACCCTAAACCCTAAGACCACGGCAGCAGCGAAGAGCGGGCAAAAGCGCAGCAAGCAGCCAACACCCCAAAACCCTAAACCCTAAACCCGAAACCCTTTTTGGGGGCCTCACGTGCAGTTGGCGAGAGTCTCTGCGAGCCTTAGTAGAGGCTGAATGTTCTTTTGCTGCTGCTGCTGCTGCTGCTGCTGCTGCTGGCCCCTGCTGTTATTTATTTCCTTTTCTTTGTTTATTTGCGCCGCGTAAGAAATTAAGACAAAGTCCATCCACTCGCCAAATAAAGCATCCCCAGCAGCAAGGGCCTCTGCTGCCTCGGGCGCAGCAGCAGCAGCAGCAGCAGCAGCAGCAGGCAGACGCACGAACTGCGTGCTCCCTTCCCGTCCTGCTGCTGCTGTTGCTGCTGCTGCTGCTGCTGCTACGGAGGGGTGCCGCTGGCCCCCGCACGCAGCGCCCCCTGGAGCTGCTTCTGCACTGCAGCTGTTTCCGCGCGCTGGCGCTGTTGCCCCCGCAGCAGCAGCAGCAGCAGCAGCAGTAGCAGCAGCAGCAAAAGGCCGCAGCAACACCCCCAGCGAGTGCAGGCAGCTCAGCCGCGTCGTATTATCTAGAGCTGCTGCAGCAGCAGCAGGGGAAAACACAGGGTGCCAGGGCACGTCTGTCGCCGCAGCAGCAGGGTCCGCCGTCGCTGCAGCAGCAGCAGCAGCAGCAGCAGCAGCAGGAGCAGCAGCATTCGACAGCTGCGTCAATCTTCGTATTACTTTCAAAAGATCTCGAGGGGGAAACTCCAGCCGCCACCGCGCGAAGGTGTGCAGCAAAGCAGCCAAAGCAGGCGCAGTAAAGAGCCCCAAAGAACCAACTGCAGCACTCCTGCAGCAGCAGCAGCAGCAGCAGCAACAGCAGCGCGGAATTTGATTTGCTGCCCCAAGCCCTGCTTTCGCTTTTGTTTGTGTCTGTTTAAATTGGTGCGTCTGAGTACAACTGAGATGGAGTGCAGACACTCAGCTAGCCAGTGATAGCTAGCTAGCTAGCTAGCTAGCTAACTGACCAGCTCGCTAGCTATCTGGCTAGCTAACTGCTGGCTAGCCAATTAGCTAGCTAGCTAGGTAACTAACTAGCTAGCTAGCTAGCTGCGGCTGCTGGCCTGACGCTAGCTAGGACTAACTAGCTGCCGGCTAGCTAGCTGCCAGCTAGCTAGCTAGCTGCTAGCTAGCTGCGGGTACGGACCTGATGTGCTGCAGCAGCGCCATGAGGGCCTGGGCCTCCTCGCCCTGCGACTGCAGCAGCGCCAAACCTGCTGCTTGAGCTGCTGCTGTCAGCTCTGCTGCAGCAGCAAAAAGGACTCTGTCTCCCAGCGCCTTCACGCACTCTTTGAAGACTCTCCGGTGAGCAGCCACAAACACACTTGCTGGCCCCTCGCTGCTGCTGCTGCTGCTGCTGTTGCTGTTGCTGCTGGGATCAGCAGCAACAACAGCAGGTGTAAGGGCTGCTGCGCCTGCTGCAGCAGCAGCCGGTTTCGCGAGGGCAGAAGTTTGCTGCGCTGCAGCAGCAGCAAACGCCTGCAGCAGCCTGCCGGTGTCCACTGCTGTTGCCTCCGCCAGGCCCTTCATTGCAGCATCTGACAAACAAAAATCACAACAAAGCTGCACGCAGCTTCTGCTGCTGCTGCTGCTGCTGCTGCTGCTGCACTCGGGGTCGCTGCCGTTGCAGCTGTTGCAGCAGCTGTTGCAGCCGCTGCTGCTTTGCGTGGGGTTGCTGCTGCTGCAGCTGCTGCAGCGACCACGCTGAGAGTCGCGCGAATCGGCTGCATGCAATTCGGGTGCACCGCGCATGCAGCAGCAGCAGAAGCAGCAGCAGCAGAAGCAGCAGCAGCAGAAGCAGCAGCAGCTTACCTGCAGCAGAAGCAAACAGCAGCGGGTCTGCATGCCCTGCTGCAGCAAAGCCCTGAAGCAGCACCGCCAAGTCTCGCACTGGGAAGCGGCAGCGGCGCAGCAGCCGCTGCACATGGGCACTTAGCTGCTGCAGCAGCTCGGGCGTAGCCAGCTGCTGCAGCAGCAGCAGACACAGAGCAGCCAAGGACACGCAAGTGCAGCCACAAAGGGGCCAGCAGCAGCAAAACCAAACGCAGCAGCAGCAGTAGCAGCACGAAGCAAAGCGGCATCAGCAGCACTATGGCCATGACCCACCGCAGCAGCTCAACCTGCTGCAGCAGCATGAACTGCCGCAGCAGCAGCAGCAGCAGCATGAACTGCCGCAGCAGCAGCAGCAGCAGCCCGAAGAACAGCAGCAACATAACTGGCGCCACGGCCGGCAGCATTCCCCGCCGCAGGAGAGCGAATTCGATCAAAAACAGCAGCAGCAGCAGCAGCAGCAGCAGCACGGGGAACTGGGGGGACAACAGCAGCAAGGCCTGCTGCTGCTGCTGCTCACCTTGAGCTTAGCAGCAGCACTCAGAACCATTGCAAGTTCAAACGGCTGCTGGAACTCCCCAGCAGCAAGCAGCAAACGGAGACGGCGAGCAGCAAATTCGAAAAAGAAAGGAGGCAGCACTGCGGGGGCCCTTGAAGCAGCAGAAAGCACTTGAGACAGCTGCAGCTGCAGGCAGCAGCAGCAGCAGCAGCAGCAGCAGCAGCAGCAGCAGCAAACCCCAGCCTGTGAAGTCTCCAGCCCCTCCTGCCTAAACCCTAAACCCTTGAGTGCGGGCGCACATGCCTTCAGCAATAAGCTTGCTGGAGAGTAGCGCTGTGCCCAGCACTCGAACCCTAAACCCCAAACCCTAAACCCTAAACCCTAAACCCTAGTTGACTGGGGCTGCTGCACTCACAGAAGTAAAAGAATCCGCCAGCACCTGCAGCCGGGGCACCACAGCAGCAAGAACAGCAGCAAACTGCTCGCTGCTGCAGCAGCAAGGACTTCTGCTGAGGGTCTGCAGCAGCAGCGCAGCCTCTGCTGCTGTTAGCTCGTCTCGCAGCTGCAGCAAAGAGACGCAGCAGCCACAAACATCCCTGCATGCACGCGACAACAGCAGCAGCAGCAGCAGCTGCTGCTGCTGCTGCTACTGCAGCAGCAGCAGCTGCTGCAGCAGAAGCAGCCACACGTGCTTCAAGTGCAGCACACCACGCTACAGGGAGCCCCCACCTACCAACAGCCCGCACTCTTAACTCCAAGCCCTAAACCCTAAACCCTAAACCCTAAACCCTAAACCCTAAACCCTAAACCCTAGCTCAAAGCTCACCTCCACCGTTCTATTTGCCACATTCTGCCAAAAGTACTCATCAGCTGAATTCTGTCGCGCTGCTGCTGCTGCTTGCGAGGCCAAGAGGCCCCCGGGGGTCACGCGGGGGGCCCCCAGGGACGACCCTCAGCTCCTTGAAGCCCTGCAGCAGCAAACCAGCGACTCTGCAGCAGCTAATGCGTGCATGCATGCATGCATGCATGTTTGCATGCAAGTGTGGGGTGGGGTTGTTGTACTGGATGGGAGGGCCCCGGGGCCCCCCGGGGGCCCCCTAAAGGGAGCAGCAAAAGTACCTCCTCGGTCAGGGGGGCCCCCGGGGGCCCCAGGGGCCCCCAGATCCCGGGGGCCCCCCTGGGGGGGGGGCCCCCGCGATCTGAATGGGGAGGGTCTTTGCTTTTGTGTTATCTTTTGGGCTGCCTCTAGAGAGGCTGGCCTCGCGGGCTGGTCTGCATGCAGCTGCTGCTCGAGCTGCTGCTGCTGCTGCTGCTGCTTCTGCTGCCGCTGCTGCCGCCGAGTAGCAGCAGCAGCAGCAAAAGGCAGCGAACAAACCCAGCCTGGCCTCAATGGCAAACCCCTCCTCACATGCAGCACCGGCGTGGCCGTGGGGGGCCCCCCAGGGGGGCCCCTCAGCCAATGCGCCCAAGAGGGGGCCCCCGGGGTCCTGCCCTTTAGGGCCCCCCGAGAGCTGGGGGCCCTGGGGGCCCCTGGGGCCCCGGGGGCCCCTGGGGCCCCGGGGGCCCCTGGGGCCCCGGGGGCCCCGGGAGCCCTGGGGGCCCCTGGGGCCCCTGGGGCCCCGGGGGCCCCCACAGGGTTGAGTGCGCGGCAGAGGCCCTGCATGGCGAGGGGCCCCCAAGCAGCAGCCTTTAGGCCTTGTGGCTCTTGAGGGTTTTTGTCTTCATCTTTGCTGGGAAGTTTAGGCTTTGTGGGGCTGCGCAGCGCAGCACGGGGCCCCCAGCTCTAAACCCTAAACCCTAAACCCTAAACCCTAAACCCTTGATCTGGTGCGCCACAGGGGGCTCTGGCTGCTGCAGTGCCGAAGGCATTAAGGAAAGACCCGAGAGGCCATCTGTGGACTGCAGCACTTGTGGTTAAAAAGCGATGAGGATTTTGCTGCTGCTGTGCTGCTGCATGCAGACAGCAGCAGCGGGACTGGCCAGCGCGCAGCAGGCTTACAGGGGGAAGCTGCTGCTTAGGAACAGGGGCGCTGCGGGGCAGGCAGTGCAGCCTGCTGCTGCTGCTGCTGCTGCTGCTGCTGCTGCTGCTGCTGCTGCTGCTGCTGCTGCTG